TCATGGAAAACGTTCAAGGACACGTTTATAAGATGCTAACAACTAAACGATTCGTCCTATATTTGCACACGATCGAGACACGCGGTATCGAAGTCGTGCCAAATATTAATGTTAAATCAAGCGTGATACCTTAGAATGTCGCGCATGTGACCCCGATTTTACGAATTTATTCCATATTCGGATCACCTCTCCCGATTAATATTGAATCGATGTAACGCCACAATGAGCAGTCCGTTGAAGATTAATACCTATCAGAGATATTCAATAGAAAATGGAATGTAAATTTACTGCCAGTGTAACGTATAAATCTTTAGATTTTCAGATCGCCAATTTCACAGAAGCAGTGAGAGACGTTTGACCACGAACCTCCATTTTCGCCTAAATCGAGACAAATGTATCGCGCGCTTTTCCATATGTTACTATCAGATTTGGAAGTAGATAGATGGATACACAAGAAAATCATTTACTTATAGCTTGAAATAGCACGTCCAAGATATGCGGTGAACAATAGCATACTGGCGATGTCGATAACGTCTTGAAGAATGCATTAAAGAGTATAAAATATGAAATAAGAAAATTACGTTTTTAATCTCATTCTTCTACTTTGCTCTTCTCTCTATTAAGGGAGATAAAGTAGTCTAAAACAGTTTTTATTACCTTATTTACGTCGTAATATGAGAGAGAGAGAGAGAGAGAGAGAGAGAGAGAGAGAGGGAAAGAAAGAGAAAAAATGACAATTTCGTTTAATTAAGACTAATGCGCGATGATATTTTTGAAGACAGTAATCTCGTTATACATTTCCTTTCACATAATAAAAATATTTTAGCACATAAAAAATAATTTTACCAAGTATTAATTATTGCACATAGAATATCGTTAGCTGAGTATTATCTTAAGTATTACACGAATGAACTGAAAGAAACAACTTCGCGCAATAAAAATTCGCGCGAATTAAACAAGAGTTTTTATTCGTCCAAAATAGATATTGCGATAATTATAAAGCTGAAGTTTCATATTTTTAAATAAATCTTCAAATCGATAGATTGCCAGCAACATGGTGTAGTTTTTTTCATTTTTGTTCTCGTATATCCGCTCATTAATGATCAGTTTCAGCATGTTGCAACCGTAACAATGGCCAGAACCATTACCTAAGATTTTTGCAACATGGTTTGCCAGCAAAACGCGCACGGACAGCGGTTGCATTTATTCAACCAATACATGAGAAATTGTGGATCCTCGAGCCAGATCCCGCAACGAATTGCGCGGATGGAAAAGCACTTGGTGATTTATTCAGTCCTTTGTGCTCGCGTGCCTTCCGTCACGGATCTATTTTCGACCCTTTCAAATGATACGCGAAATAATTTTCCACCGGCTGTATCGCCACCGCGGCTTCCCCGCATCGCAGTCGGAAATAGAAGAACGAAGGGTATTTCTCGAACACACGCGAATGAGCGAAATCGCGAAAGCGCGTTGTCGGAAAGAAAAGCGTTCGCATCATCTGAATCTGACACATATGAAAAAACGGATCTTATCAAGAGTTCTACTTAGCAGCGAATTTCTATTTCTATTCGGGGAGATGTAACATTTTGATTTCATATCTATTTGCCGAAAAAAGTCAGTCTTCTCTTCTCTTTTAACCAAAATCTAACAAATAATCCAAAATTTAACTAATCCAAAATTTAACTATAATAATCCAAAATCTCTAAAAAAGGAAATATTGTTGACTATAGAATGAGAGTTTACTTATGAGAGAATGTCTGCATTATTGAGAAATATATTAGTCGATAAATCCGAGATCCACATTCCATATAAATCTAACAAGTTTCGTGACTGCAAATTTCACTTTTTCAACTCACATATAAAATAATAGTTATTGTCCAGTGTGAGAAACCGATACTAATGTGAACAATAAATTCCGTGTTGCAGGTGTCCGGCAAAAAAACAAAAAAAAGAGTGAGAAACATTTGTGATAAATAACCTTGCTGTATGAATGCACAATGAGTCGTTAATCATGTCATCGAGTCTTAGGTATGAAACGCGGGTATCGGCGATATATATATATACATCGTTGGCATAGTTTTTATTCATTCTCTGTTTCTTGGTCGAATAATTTATTGATGTCTCACGCGAATTGTGTCCTGCAACGATCATATATCTCAATATCGTAGTCAATTATTAATTTCGAAGCTTTCCGCGAAAGTTGCCAAGAAAGGGTAATATAAATTTAGATGCACACTCTTCAGATTCCAAGAGTTATTTAATCTTTAAAATGCGATACGCTGCTTCAGGAATCGCATTAAATATATTTTGTCTCCATCCATTGTATTATACAATAATTACACGGCTATTGTAAGATAAAAGAGCCATCGCTGACAGACGATTGTCATCGCGTGATTTAGTTTAGAGGCTTTAAAAGAGGTTTCTGTATTGCAATTTGTACTGATACGAAACTTTTGCCTTCTTAATTCATTTATCTACACGTTTCATTAGGCAGCAGTCGACTCTCCGATTGTTTCAAACCATGTACATACAATTACGCTATTGTGCACAAAAGCGGTATTACTACAATTACAGCATTGTGCGTTTTTAGTCTCTTTGATCGAATGCACTTCACGTATATAGCGCACCCTTGTATGCAAAGTGCAGTACGCAAACTTCGGAAAACAGCAATGAGACTGCTTAAACAATCTTCTTCCGATCTCCCGCTAAGAAATAGCTATAGAACTTTTCAGGCACAAGTTCAACAGTTTTAAATTTATGAGGAGTTATAATCACGACACGGTAGACGGTTGAAATCGATCGTATTCGATTGAATGCATATCGATTTATGGAACAAAAATCCAGTCTCGTGTCATACAGTATCAGCACAAATTAAGCGTCGTCTATAATAAAAGTTAACTTAAGACTTAAAATTTAAGAAAATTGACCAATCACAGGCAATTATTTATCTCACGTAAAAAGAACAATCGATTGTAATTGGTCAATTTTCTTAAATCTTAAATCTTGCATATCGATTTAAGAAACAAAAAAGTCCAGTCTCGAGTCATTTAGTATCAGCACAAATTAAGCGTCGTCTACAATAAAAGTTAACTTAAAACTTAAAATTTAAGAAAATTGATTAATCACAGTCAATTATTTATCTCACGTAAGAAGAATAATCGATTGTGATTACTGCCGAAATACAATAGATGTAGTAAGCCTTAAGCCGTAAGAAATTGACCAACCATAATCGATTATTCTCTTCACATTCGATTGCGATTTGTTTATTTCTTACGGCTTAAGGCTTAAGGCCTTCACACATAAAATCCCGTAAGGCTGTAAGACGTAAACGTAAGAAAATCGACCAATCCCAATTTAGTATTAGGTTGTCCGTAACACCTCCACTCAATTGAAATTGGTCGATTTTGTTACGCTTACGACCTTACGGGATTTTATGTGTGAAGGCCTTTACTCCACCTATTGTGTTTCGGGACTTAATCAATTTTCTTAAATCTTAAGGTCCATCTACAATGAAAGTAGTAACTCGTAAGCCGTAAGAAATTGACCAATCACAGTCGATTATTCTTCTCATATTCGACTGTGACTGGTTAATTTCTTACGGCTTA